GGCAGGGTGGAGGACTTGGCAGGTAATGGATAAAAGGTATGGGGTTTCTTTTGGAGATGATAAAATGGTCTAAAATTGATTGTGATGATGGTTGTACAACTCTGTGAATATACTAAAAACCACTGGATTGTACACTTTAAGTGGGTTAATTGTATGGTATGTGAATTAGACCTCAAGAATGCTGTTACCAAAAGAAAAAAGGAAAAAAAAAAAAAAAAAGACTTTCCTCCTCTATGAAACATGTCTTAAACCCCACTAAAACTGACCCCTGTATGTGTCTTCACCATCCCCCGTGTGGCCCTGAGTACCTGCAACTGACACTCTTTTGCACTCATCTGTTGATGGGTCTGTTTTCCTCTATCATACTGTCAGTTCCTCAAGGCAGGAATTTGGCTCATTTTTTCTTGAAATACACAATGCCTGTATATACTATATGATAGGCTATATCATAAATATTTGTTAAAAGACTATCTTAGGGCCGAGCCCGCGTCGCACTCGGGAGAGTGCAGCGCTGGGAGCGCAGCAGTGCTCCCGTTGCGGGTTCAGATCCTATATAGGGATGGCCGGTGCACTCACTGGCTGAGCGAGGTGTGGCTGGTCTCAAAAAGGACAAAAAAAAAAGACTATCTTAAAAGGTTGTCATGAGGAAAAAGACTATCTTAAAAGGTTGTCATGAGGAAAGGGGACTGTGCTTGTTTCACACATCCCAATGGGCAAAAATGGGAGCTATGATAACATAAATTGTAAGAATTTTCAAATAATCGGGGTTGTCCCTTTCTTCAAAGTGTCGGAATTGATACTCAAAACTTTGGGTGTATGTATATGAATAGTATGTGCATTTTTGAAAATACATAGCTTTCACCAGACTCTCAAAGAGGTATGTATCCCCAAAATGGTTAGGATTCACTACTTTAAAAATTCCAGTGTACCATAGCAGGGATTTTAGTTAGCAAATTTCAGTTATTGTAATATATCATTCAAGGTAGGTTTTTACCTAGATTATACTACTTCAGTAACTTGTAATAGAAAAAGAGAATTCACAACACTAGCAGCTTCATAATCTCAAATTTATTCATTTAAAAGTATTTACTGACTGTCACTTGCTGAAGAAATAGTGGCAAACAAGACAAAGTCCCTGCTCTTGTGGAGTTTACATTCCAGAAGGTGGAGACAAAAAAGCAAACAAGTAAATAAATAAGGAAATCTCATATCATGTAGTGATGCCTTTGATGGAGAAAATAAAACAACATGATGGAATAGGGAATGATGGGAATAGTAACAGAATTATTTTACCTAGGGTCATTGGGGAAAGTCTCTCTGAGGAGGTTACATTTGATCAGAAACTTGAAGAAGAAGAAAGAAGCTGAGGGAAGAGCACTTCAGGAATAAAGAGAACAGAAAGTGCAAAATTCCTAAGGTGAGAACACTTGAATTCTCAAGGGAAGGAGCTATGTGTAATCTCTACTCTGTACACTCTACAACATTCAGAAGAGTGTCTCCCATCACATTAAATAGTACTTCTTCAAGATAATTCACCATAATGGGAATTTAACTAACAAAAAAAAAACCTGTTTTAGAAGAATTCTCACTGTTCAGGATCATCATGAATTTACTCTTCTTCACGGCAGACAGTATCAGTAGACAAAGTGAGTAAAACCTTTTAGATTTTGCAATAAGACAGAAAAAAAAAAAGACCAAATATGCAAAGATTAAGTTTTAGAAGTCTTTTCCAGGTGGATAGTCTTACAAGCATAAAGGTTATCAAGCAAATTATGCAAACAGAATTATGTGTTCAATCTGCCCTACACCCTACAATTCGGTCTATGCATTCATAGTATTTACAATCTATGATGATCAAGAGGATGGAACTACAGGCCATATACACAAATTAGAGGGGAATGGATTACAGTTCAAAAGGAGCTGTCCAGCAATCAATAGTTTGAACACTAGTGGAAGTGTTCCAAGACTGTAAAATCATGTCTCAAGGATGTTACAAGGAAAATTTACAGGAGAAAGTTACCAGTAGAACTTCATGACCCATACAGAATTGTTTTGGTTTTCTTCCAGTCTTCAGCATCCACGCCTTTATATTCATCCTATAAAAGCCCCCGAATGCAGCCAAGAGGGTGGATTTTTTAAACACCACATATATATCTCAATAACAAAGGATTAACATGTATGTTTGCCTAAGTAAGGAGAGTACAGTGATTTACTTATCTCTACCTCAGTAACTGAAACTTGAGTTATTAAAATCTTCAAGTTTTACTTTAAAAGATATAAAAAGAGCCTGAAACAGTGAGCGCCCAGCACCAAGTTGAAAGCACCAACTGACTTTATTTCATACAAAAGCACCACAGAAAGCACACGAAAACCCTAAAGAAGGAAACCCAGCTGGGAACCCTACTGACGCAAATCCCGTGAACAAATAGTGGCAGATGAGTTAAGCCAGTGAGGGGAAGAAGGTAGGGGCTGTGATCAAACGGGTGTGTGCGACGCCACGTAGAGGGTGCCCAGGCACGTATGCCTGCATTCCTGTCCCGTCCTGCGGCAGAACCTTAGGAGGGACCCGGTGCCCGGTGGAGATGGGCCGCTGACGCCAAGGGAACCACAGGGCTCGACCCCTCCCAAACGTGGTCTCGTCCGCCCTCTCTAGCCGGTTTGGCGCATATCTCCGTGGGGACCGAGGAGTCTCAGAACACCGTTCTCTGGCCGGCTCCGGGAGTGCTGGCCCGCGCTTACCTTCGGGTGCCGGCGGCGGCTCCTGACGCTTTCCGCGGGACAGGAAGGCCTTGGGCAACAGCAGCGACAGAGCCAAGACGAGCCCCGAGGCCATGGCCACTCTCTGCACTGTGGAGTACGCCATGGCACCTCACCGTCGGCGCAGGTGCAGACCGCAACCGGAACCGGAACCGGAACTGCTGCCGCCGCGCGGGCGGCCGCTCGCTGCCGCACCG